GCTATGAGCGCGGGTGAGGCTCCGGTGTCCGGGCTCCTCCGGGGGAGGCGGGGCGCGGAGGTCCGCGGTGTTGTCACCCGTGCGCTGGGGCAACCCCCTCTGCGCGGGGGCCTTCGGTTGCGGCCGTGCTCGGCGTTCGCGCGGAGCCTGGGGTGACGCTGCGGTGTTGTCTCTGTTTCAGACGATGACCTGAGCCTGCTGGTCGTAATCATTGACACCAACCCCATCTGGTGGGGGAAGAAGGCGCTAGGAGAAGCTGAGGTACGTGCTGCTGGGGGCGGTATTATTTGTTTAATGTTAGTAAATAGGCAACAGATAAGCCTTTGATTTCTAAACTCTGTTGATATTTGTCTGCTAGAACAATTTATGGGTATTAGAATGTTCTTTAAAGCAGCTACCCAGCATTGTGTAGTCAAAGCTTTTTTCTAAATTCTATTAGGAAACTTTCAGCATCTTCAAGTTGAGTTTTTTTAACTGCAGTGATTTGAGAGATTTCTTCTAAATTACCTCACTGTAAATGTTAACTGCCCTGTATCTGTTTTCTTCTTCCTTTTTTTCAGCAGTTCACCCTATCAAAATGCATCGACGCAGTGATGGTGCTGGGAAACTCACACTTACTTATGAACCGCAACAACAGACTTGCTGTGATAGCAAGTCACACACAAGAAAGGTAGAGTTGCTTCTTAACAGGGTGAAGATTTAGAGTACACTTGTCTGTATCTATCTCCTGATTTATTTTTTTTTTGAAGTACATAATTGCCATCAGGTTTAAAATGCATAATATATCATTGTCTTAAAGATCTACCCCTAAGTGCAGACATGGCCATTAGACTGGATATAAGGAGGAAATTTTTTCCTGTTAGGGTGGTGAGGCACTGGAATGGGTTGCCCAGGGAGGTTGTGAATGCTCCATCCCTGGCGGTGTTCAAGGCAAGGTTGGATGAAGTCTTGGGTGCCATGCTTTAGTGTGAGATGTCCCTGCCCATGGCAGGGGGGTTGGAACTGGATGATCTTAAGGTCCTTTCCAACCCTAATTATTCTATGATTTATCTCTCTTAAGAGGGGCCTTGAAAGGAGGGAGGTGAATGTGGGTTTTACTCCATTTTCAGTTTGAGGATTACCTGCTTTATATAGTCTCTTTAGTGTCTAAAGTGTTAAGATTATTTGCTATTATACTGTGGAGTATTGCTTTCTACATCTGAGTAGTTTATGGGTATTTTTCTTATGAGGTTAAACCATATATACTTTGACTTTCTTCTGTTTCAGCCGTTTCTTGTACCCTGGGAAGGGTTGGGTTGCTGCAGAGCTCTTTGGAGATGGTGGTAGTTCCATGGAATCTAATTGCTCTGGCAGCAAGGATGGAAAATACGAGTTGTTAACAGCAATCAATGATGCAATTGCAGAAGAGATTAAAGACCTCATGACAAAAAGTAAGGAAAAGAAAATTCTAGGCTTAATATGCAGAATTGCAAAACATTTGGGCTCCCAAGGAGTGTAGGAATTTCCTTTATTTTTATCATGTCAATTTTAATACATTTCAAGCAGATGAGTTTATAATGTGTGACATTTAAGGCCTCTGCATTGATGCTATTTGCCAAAGATAAAACTTGTAGTATTTGCTATGGTCGGATTCAGCAACTGTTTTTATATCTAAAAGTAACTTCTGCAACTTTCCTTGTATTGCAGGTGACATGAGGGGCCAGCAAACAGAAACCCTGTTAGTAGGATCACTCTCTAAAGCCCTTTGTTGTATCCTTTCAGTCACAGAATCTTCAAAGCTTTTGTGTGTTTTCAAGACTGTTTCTTACAATATTAGTTAAGTTTTACTATTCCTGTCCTTAATAATACTCAAAACTGAAACGTTTACCTAACAGCTGTGGGTCAGGCTTATTAAAATGCGCGTTGGTTAAGGTGGGGAACACGTGGCATGGATACTGGGGTTATTTTCAAGAATTGAATGCAGATTCCTTAAAGTCAGCTAATCAGATATCAACAAGATGAGCAAAGATGTGAAAGGTAAAGCCTCTTCTCCTATTTTGAATACTTCCGTAAATATTTGAATCGGACATAAGTACATATGTACATACAAACAAATATACATATGGTTTGACATGTCCCCATTTCCAAAATTGACAAGATTAGGTACATGTTTATCCTGATCATTCCACAGGGACCACCTCCTTCCCCGATCAACATCTCGGTGCTTTAGGACAATAAGTGAAATGGGTCTGCTTTCATGACAAGCCTGAATTAGTCCACAGATGCTTGTCACTGGGACTGTAAACCAGTTTCTTATAGGTATTTTAACTGAGATGTTAGATCTAACATCTTGGATGTTAGATATGTAACTGGGATGTTATATGCTCCAGAATTAAAAGGGCAAACTGCAGGCAATAGAAACAATGTGCTCATGCATTTCTTTTTAATATTTAGGCAATCAAGAAATGAAATCAAGGATTTTGGTAAGGACTTTTGCTGACAGTTTTATTTCAATCTTGAAATCCAGTGATATTATGTAGGCCAACAAGTTTGAATTGTTTTATTTAGGTCATAAAAGCAGCAGAAGACAGTGCATTGCAATATATGAACTTCATGAATGTTATCTTTGCAGCACAGAAACAGGTGAAGCTGGCTTCTTTCTCATATGTATTATATTTTATTAATATCCACAGATAAAAAAATGTTCATTTCTTTTATGCATTGCATCTCTTTTCTTGCAGAGTGTTTTGATTGATGCTTGTGTGTTGGACTCTGATTCAGGTCTCCTACAACAGGTACAGACTCCACTCCCTATTCTCATTTGCTGTTTATATTGATTCACAGATACTTGCTGCTAGATAGTTTGAGATGTTCCTAAGCTCTCTTCTTTCATTTGTTTCAAGAGTGGGTGTGGAAATATGCTCAGTGGATCTGACAGTTCTAACATGCAGGCCTTGTGCAGCGTGTGGGTATTCTAAATATCCTGGTAATTATAAACCAAAACAAGCTGATCATTCTCTGCTTTCCAGGCTTGTGATATTACAGGTGGCATATATCTGAAAGTGCTCCACATGCCATCCCTTCTGCAGTATTTGTTGGTAAGTCATTTAGAAAACACTTAAGTGCTTTTTCCTGTGTCAGATGGGAATCTTACTGGCTTCACTGACAAGGAAATACAGCAGCACCATTCTCTTTTCGTGCAGTGGGTGTTTCTCCCTGATCAAGAGCAAAGATCACAGCTTGTCCTTCCACCTCCCATTCATGTTGACTACAGAGCTGCATGCTTCTGTCACCGAAATCTCATTGAAATCGGTTACGTGTGCTCCGTGTGCTTGTCAAGTAAGCTTATAAATATTGAAGGGTCTGATTCCTTACCTTCAAGTGAACTGTTCTACTGAAAGCCCGTTCTTTTCTTTTCCAGTATTCTGCAACTTCAGTCCTATTTGTAGCACATGCGAGTAAGTGTTTCTTCTCCTTTTCCCAAGGGTGGGTGTGGAAATATGTTCTGTGGATCTGACAGCTCCTTCTTCTACTGCTTTTTTCAGGACTGCTTTCAAAATATCATTGCCGCCTGTCATGAAAGCTAAGAAGAAGAAATTAAAGGTAGCTGCGTAACTACATTATGCAAATGCATCATTACCTCCTCCAGGAATTACATAAGATGGAACATACTTGAGGAATTGGTGGTATTGGATCTGAGAGAACTGTATGCAGTGTTACCCTTGTTTCTTAAGGGATGAATAGCCAAATCGTGTGTGTTCTACACAGCCCTCTAAGTAACAAATCACTGTATTGCCATGTAACATATGTGCTGGTTTAAATGTGAGAGGAGCCAGGAGTTACAGCCTGCCAAGACATACCCTGGGAAGGAGAAGGTATCCTGGCCACTGCCAACGTTTCACTCCTCCTGTAGTCAAAGACAACTGATTCTTTTTGTGCACTGGTGTAAAGGTAAAAATGACCATTTCTAGTGCGTAGATCAGACCCTGAGCACTGTCCTGTTGAGGGACTTCAATCTCTTGCTAGGTTTTGCTAGCAATGTTTGTCCTGCCCTACCTGTGCACTCGTATGTGTTCATATTCCTTTGGCTGTACTGTCCCTGTGGTATTAACTTTCCTAATTGGATATCTCTTGTGAATAAAAATGCTTCTGTTTGTTTAAAGTAACTTCAGGCTGGCTGGGTGGTCTTTAAGGTTGTGTTCTGAAACTGGAAAAGGTAATTCTGTGCAATGTGGCAGTTCTTAGTATGTGGTTCTGCAGCTGGCGTTTGACAAGTAAGAATGAAAGCTTTTGCTTTGGTGGTTTTGGGGCAGAACACGAGGGCGTGCTGTGTGCTTCTGAACATCACTTTGCTTTAACCATTCTCCCCCTTGTAAAAAGCAACGGTACGGTTTGGTGTTTGAACCTGTTGCTTGTAACTGATGTTCTCCGGCAAGGAATACTGTTCCTGCTATTCCTGTATAAAGGAATAATGTTCCTGCTATTCCTGTATAAAGGAATACTGTAACTGTTCCCTACATTGAAAATCACAGATACTCTTTTCTTCCCCAAGGTGTATAGAGGAATTTATGTCATGTCTTGATACTTGCATCGCCGTTTATCAGTGTAACAGCTGCAATGCCGGACTTTTCCTGGCTTGTTTTGGTTGACGGCTACATTATAATTCACTTTGTCTAAGAAGTTTGTAATAAAACCTTTTTCAATGGGGGTAGATATTGCTGTGATACCAGCTGGTTTTAACTGTACGGTGTAGCAGTAAGATCTGGCACTGGCTGAAGCGCCTGAGGGAGGATGTGTCCGTGTGGAGCTGAGGGGGAAGACGAGGCGCAGCCGTGCCTGGGCTCTCTCCGCTGGTCCCTACCGTGAGGGGGGGTCCATGGCCCAGCCCGCCCATCGGTTCCGCCGGTGGCCCCGTCCCGCCTTCCCGTGAGGCGGCCGCGCTTCCCGCCCCTTCCCGTTGCCATGGAGCCGCGCGGGCGCCGCAAGATGGCGGCCGGGCGGGAGCCGGGGCCCCGGCGGGGGCCTCCTTAGGCGCCATGGAGGCTCCCGTGCTCGCGGTGGTGGTGGTGGTGCTGCTGGCGGAGCCCTGCGCTGGGGACCCCGGTGGGTGCAGCGCGGCAGGGCCGCGGGAGCTGCGGAGGGAAGGGGGGGGTAAAAGGGTGGGCAGGGTGTGGGGAAGGGGTCTGAGTGGGGGGCTTGTGTTGGGCCTTTTGGTACGGCCTGTAAAGGAGTTTGTAGTGGAACTCGGCTTGGAGCCCGACGCTTGAAGCTGTCCGCATGCGGAGGGCTTTAGTCTGCAGTGAGCGCATCACGTGTAATAGGGGTACAGCCCCGATGCCATTCATAGCTGCGAGGATTAGAAGTGTAAACTGAAATCAGCAAGAAACGCTAAACACATTGTTGTCTGCCCCCTGTGTATCTGTGTGGGCCAGTAAGTGCTGCAGCCTCCTGCCATAATGTTACTCTAATGAGGATTTATTCACTGAGCATCTTGGCAGATGCAGACTTGTGGTATAAAAAACTACAGTGAGTGCAGTGCTCTGGCCCTTTGCATGAATGCAGATGCAGGCCTGCATTGGGCATCACAAGGTAGCTTTGTGACAATTTACGACGTAGGAGGTAAGATCTAAATAAGTTTTGCAGATGTTACCTTTTTCACTTAACCTGTGTAAAGACTTGCTTCTTTCTCTCTTTTTTTCAGTCTTCCAGCCTTCATTTATCTATATGTCAGGGCCCAGAGCCAATTTGTTATTTCTTGGAAATTCTTCAGCTGTTCGTTTTTCTATATATTTAAGCCCTAGAGATGAAGAGACAGGTAAGAACACCCCCCCCCCCAGCAGTGTGTAAATAAATGTTTGACTTATTCATATCCTCTGACACTAAAATTACTGGAGAAATGCACTTCTTTGAGTGCTTTGATACTTGCTGAAATAGGAACGCCAAAGGACTTTGCTGATGAAGCCCTTAGTCTTCTGTTGACTCGTTGTCAGCTGGGCCTAAGAATCTGCCTATTTGAAGGCACAAGAGGAGTTTAAATGTGCTACTGATTTGCCCAGCCTGGTCAAAATGACAGTGGAATACTTTCCATTTTGATACAGGAGTATTGCAACTCGCCAATTGCAATGGAAATGAAAGCGCCGGCGATTGGAATTTGAACGTAACACGTGGTGTGGTATGTAAAATACTGGTCCTTGCCTAAAATGGGAAGGACTGGACTATCATATAGTAAGGGCTAACGAACCATTAGCAAAATGTTAACATACCAACAACTCAGTTTGAATGTCTTGCCTCTGTCTGTGCGCTCTTCCTATAATTTGCCGAGGTTCAGCTTTGGTGCTGGTTTCTTCTTGCCTTCCTTCTCTCCGGAACTGCCTGCACTTCCTGGTTTTCTGTAGCATTGGAGGCTGTTTCAGATCTTCTGGAAAGAGATAATAGAAATAAAAAGTGGTCATTTCAAACAGCATGAGCTCTGGAACATCTATAGTCATTAGGCTTGTCTTCAGTGTTACATTGTATGTAATTCTGTAGGGATTTTATCATCTCTGCAGTTACCTAGTTTTCAGCTGAAGGAGGCTGTAAAAACTGAAACTCACCTTTCAGTATTTGTTCTGTTCTTTAGAACATGAGATTTCTGTGGTAACAATCTTTGTGTGTGCCTCAAAGTTCTGTGCACAGTTCATATCCTCTCTCTATTTGCATATCTTGGTAGCAGACCCTTTGTCATTCCGCTCTCCATATCCAATTTTATATAGGAAGCATATCATTGCATTGTAGTGCTGACAAAGCCCAGTGGCAATGAAACTTCTCTTTCGGAAGCTGAAGAGTGGTCTAAATAAGAGTAGTTGAATACAAGCCACCGAAGCTGTCAAACCTGATTTTGCGTTTCTTCCAGAACATTTCCAAACTGACTATCAGCTTGACTAGAAATCTGCAGCTGTGTTTGCCAAATGCCACTGACTGCTGCACAGCACCTCTTTGCGTGGTCGAAACGCTCCAGGTTTTAGCTTGCCGTCGCTCGGTGATGTTGGCGCATCTCCTGGTTCAAGCTGAAATATATGCCAACTCTTCCTTTACAGGAAACGTGTCAGGTGAGTGTTTAGATGTGCTAAAGAAGAAATGGCGTTTTGGTTGTTCTTTTCCTCTAAATATGAAAAAAAAACAGAATACTTTTGGATTTGGGCAGCAGTAAGAGATGGTGAATAATCATCCGTGGAATTCAACAGAAAGTTTGTACACAGAATAAATTGCAATGCACGTGGTCTGTTTGGATTTCTGTCCATCTAATCTGATTTTATCTTCCTTTTTAATTCTTTCACAGAAAATGCCACTGTCATCCCAAACCAGGTGTTTCAACCCTTGGGCTCTTGTCCTTGTGACTTGACAGCTGGAGCCTGTGATGTTCGTTGTTGCTGTGACCTGGTATGTATTTCATATTAAACTTTGAAGTGTTTAAAACATTTCTAGGTTCTTTCTATAGCCTGGGGGGAGAGAGAAGTTCTGAATGGGATTCAGACTAGATAGGGCTAGAAGGCTTGTTGGCTATTCCTGTGTTTCTAACAGTAAATATGACCTTTCTCTACAAAACTGGTTTGATTCACCTGCAAGTATGGCTATAGTGTCTATGGTAATGCAGTTGCTGTGCTACAGTGACCTTTCTTTTTGCTTTCAGGAGTGTTCACCAGACTTGAAGCAGTTATTCAATGAATCATGTTTCACTGGAGTGTTTGGTGGGGATGTAAACCCACCTTTTGATCAGCTGTGCTCCTCTCAGTCAATGGAATATATTCCTGATTGGTTTCCCTTCCTTTGTGTGCAGTCTTCTCTTAACAACACACCATTTCTTGGCTACTTCTATCATGGCTCTATGTAAGTCTGAAGGAATTTATTTTCTCAACACATGCATTAAGCATGTTACTGAAAATAGGAGCTGGTTTTATAATGAAAGTTACTTTGAAATTAGAATCTTAGGATGTGAACTTTAAATGCAAATGGAGAAACATCATTGGTACTGTATGAAAACATGGGACATGAAAGCAAATGTGTATTTATTGGTGTAAGATAGAGGTTTAATTTTTAAACTTGCTTGCAGTTCTACACCCAAAGTTCCTTCATTTAAGATCCCTTTGCAAACTTCTCCTGGAAAACTTTTCACTGGTTACAATCAAGGAGATCCAGTTATGACAGAAGAAAATGAGTATTTTACCATTCCCCAGGTAATCACTTTGTGTTTATGGTATTTTGATTTCTCTTTGTTTGTTTGATATTCTCTATATCACACTCCTTATAGCTGTGTAACCAAATTCTGCAACTTGCTGTTTCAAGTGAAGGAATATATTTCTTTAAACCTAAAAAGGCCCAAAATCATTATTAAAAGTAAACATTATCCTTCCTGATCTCCCTGTTCGTCTCCCAAAATTATAATGTCTTCATTATTGCAAGAGGTAAAAGCAAGCTTGGCATCCCAATTAATAGCTTATGAATCATCATTTCAGTAGCAGTTTTCAAATGAAACAATGTCCAATGTCCTTATTTCTGTTGAACCACCTGCAGCAATCCATGGCTGGACAGTGTGTTGTACATGCCCCTGTGGCATACCTCCAGGACTTTGATGTCAGATGCCTTACCAGTCTAGAATCTTACGAGGAAGGACTGCCCCATGATGTGAGGATAAACAGTGGTACTGGAGGTATGCTGCATAAACCTGAACAAATATGGGGTTTATGTTTCTCAGAGCTGCTAGAACAGAACAAACCCAAGGGCTTGACATAGTAGCTACGTATAATGTCTCTGTTACTTGGTGGCTGTAGCTCAGCATTTGGGGATGGTCTGTTTCTGGTGACCATCTATCAACTGTCCCTCTATTTCTCAAGATTTAGGATATAAGAAATAGTGGGATTGGCTTTTGTTTTCCATTTATCTGTTTCTGGTGACTCATACTGGTTACGGCCTGTGGTGACAGAACAGCATCCCTCCTGCTTTGTTTTCAGACTGTTGCAGAGCCCTTTTCCTGTCAAGAGGGTGCAGTATCATCATTTTAGAATTAGTGAGAAGTGGTTACTGTCTACATTAGGAAAGCATATACTTAAGAAGTGTCATTCTGCAGTTTGAGATGATTACCAGCATGAAAATAATGTATTTTATGTCATTGTCTAATTTTGTTCATCTCTATTACCTTTGTAGTCCCAGAGATAACTGTGCTCTCAAAACACAGAGCTGCCTTGGTCTTTTACCAGTATTAATTTTCTAGATAGTTTACTCATTGTCACAACAAGGATTCCACTTGAGATGTGAAAGAGTGTCTCATTAGTCAGGAATCCTGCAGTGTTTGTTTTTCATTCTCAGACTTCATCCAGCAAAATGTTGTCTATAGGAACATCACCGACACTGGCAAATTCATCAGTGAAAGTGGTATGTCTCTTCCATTTAATGTTTCTTACCTAACCTGGACTGTATAAGAAGTAGATCATTTTGATGCCTAGAATGTCTGCTGCAATTCTTAGGAGGTATCTTGTGTGTTACTGTATACTCAAGAAGTAAACTGTTTTGCTTACTGTGAAGCAGCAAGTACTTAATTTACCCTAACTTCATTTGAAGTTGGTTAAGAAATAAGGTTCTTTAGCTTATATTAAAGTAATTTTTGAGAAGAAAAAAGACTAAACAAGCAAAACTCCAAAGATACAAAGAATGCTTTAAAATAAAATCCCAAAGAAGAGCACAGAAGTGGGATGGACAGTGTAAGCAGATGGACACGTGTCTGGTTTGTAACCTCTTGTTACAAAAAAGGCCTTTTGAAGGGCCTTTGTCAGCCAGTGAAGCAATTATTTGATGTAGAACAGTGGTTCCCACTTGGTGGGAGGATAATGCAGCACAAATTAAACTAATGGAATCCAAGCTAATGCATTTTACTGGGCAGTGATGGCTGCCTGGGAGGGATGAGATAAAAGCAGGGGGAGAGCAGAGAGCAGCATCAGCTGGTGAAGTGAAGTCCAGTGCTGGGCTCTTGTGGAGAGGTTTAGCTACAGAAGGACCTGGAATCCCTGATATTAAAGCATTGAGAAGCTAAGGGATTGTATTGTTGCACTGTCCTAATAAGACAGGACTTTAACAGTGAAATAAATTCTCAGGAATGTTTTAATTCCCAGCTTTCCCACAGCTTTTTAACGTGTTCTTTTTCAGCTCTAATAACACAGCTTTCTATGCTTTTCATTATGGCCTTTTCTTTTCTTCTGACAGAAAGTCTTCCTACTGCTGAGGTTTTATGTCAAAATGTAACATTTGCGGAGCATTATACATTCATTTGGAAAGAGAAGAACATAGAGCAAGTAAATGTCACAGTCTTCCTCGGAAGCTTATGTGATGGAGGTATCATGAAACTTCTCTTACAGTTTTTGATTTTTTTTTGCTTCAGCAGGGAAGTTCTGTGATAGAATCTCTTATTTACTAATAATACTTCAAAAGAATTCCCCCTGGACTCTGGAAAGAAAATTTAAGGGGCTGGTTTTCATTAATTTATATTATTTGTGTTACTAATGACATTTACATCCTACATAGAGCATACTTTATGCCAATTTACTGCATACTTGTTGCTTATTTACTTATTTAAAAGTAAAGTCATATTTTTTCTTTTACCAGAAATACTGACCCAGAGATTCACAGTCCAATTTCTAAGTTTAGAGAGCACTAATACAACGGAACTGTCTGGGAATCCAGGTATTAATACTTTATTTTGCCTCTTACAAGTGAAAAGAATTCATACTGTACAGATTATTATCAGTGACTGCGTTCTATAAGTGGTTTATACGTTATGTTGCTAGCCCTGACCTTCCTGCTCAATGCACTGCCACTGTAATAACTGGGATTGGTTCTGAGGCTTTTGTTGTATAGATATTGATTACTTAAAGTGAAGGTATTCCTACTGTAATGGAAATGGCTGTTCATTTACTTCAGGAGTAATGACATTTATTATTAAAACAATGCTAATGCTTATAGATTCTTATACAGTGCTCAGGATTTACCCTTCTCTGTTTAGGTTATCAAGTTGGAAAACCAGTGAGAGCTGCAAATCTGAATGCTTCTGATACTTCTGGAAGTCTAAACATTTGGCAGCCAGGTACTAGCTTGTGAGGTTGCAACTTCAGCTGTAGCTAATGCTAAAATGTTGTGGGTGTTTTCTTTTGGCTTTGGTTGATTGTGGTTTTTTGTTTGTTTGGGGTTTTTTCACTTGTTTCAGTTAAGAATCTCTGCCAAATATTGCTTTTCTGGGCTGTTCCTTCTAGACTGTTCCCTAGCCTTGGTTAAAAAGTCAGTGGTAAGCCTCTAATGCTTTCTTGGGATGTTTAAGTTGAATGAACTTACATCTGTATTTGAATTATACCACCTGTGTTTTGCATTCTCCTGCTTGATATTTTTGCATAAAATTGAAAGCTAGAAATTGAAAGGTTGACAGAGGAAAGCTCAGTAAGATGTCTTCATTTCCTAGCTGGCAGAGGTTTATGTACATCAGCAACTCATACGCCAGTTATATTTGGGCTGGATTCACTCTCTGGGTGCATTCTAGAAGTTGGAATTGATGAAGATTGCAGACTTTTAAGGTGAGCTATGTAGGTTGAATTGTTTTTCCCCGCATTTTAAAAGGGAAGTTATAATAATGGCTTCATTTGGATCTCTCTGTATTCAAATGAGGATTATGTTGGGGTGGAATGCTTTGCTCTTTCTTCCCCCTAACAGATGACTCAATAGTTCAAGTTTGGTTTTGTTGAATGATAACATCTTTCAGAGGAAACTGACCTTATGGTACAATAATATTGGAACCCAGCGTGGTCAACAGTACAGATATGCTTTCTGTCTAATCTCACATTCTCATTTTGCAGAGGAAATGTAACTGAGAAATTGAATTCATTAGTACAAGCTACTCATATTGGGAAAAGAGACAATTCAAGTCACAGTGATCCAAATGACTGGGTGGAAATTATACGTAAGTGAGGTTTGTGGGGTTTTTGATACTCTAAATATGTACACACGATGAATAGAGCATCTCAAAACCGAATTGTAACTTCAGATGCTTAAAGATACTGGTTTTTTGTGTCTGCATCCATTCATCCATCCATATATGTGCACACACGCACATATGTAACTCAATATATACATGGATATTGCACTAATGTGTATTCTACTAGGAACCTGTACACATATGACTTCGTTCTCTGATAATAAAATACTCTTTTATGTGCATTTTACAGAGAGAAAACATTTTCTGTATGTGTTCCTCTTTGACAGTTACCAGTATTTCACTGGACTATAACAATAATATAATTATGGAAAGTATATTTTCCATAATACATCCATTTAAGTAACTCCATTCTTCTCCATAGGTCTTGATCCATTTAATTCTGATACCAATGTGAGCACTGGAATCTTCAAAGGCATTTGTGCAGCTATTCCTGCAAACCTGAATATTCGCATAATCTTTGCTGAAGTGGGTGCAGTGCAAGGGATTCCCCAGCAAGAGATTCTTGCTGTGCAGATCAGGTAGAGTCCTGTCTCTGGCTCTTTGACAGATGAATGTTTCATTCTGAGCCTTGCTTGCCTCATGCATCCAGGTTAAATTTTAGAAACAAAAGTGTTATTTTGTGATTTCTTTTTTTTTTACACACCTTTTATTTGTGCAGCCCAGATTCCTTTGGTCACACCAGGTTTGCCTTTCTCCCTCTGAAATGAAAATTGAAGAAAATATTAATGCCTAAAAGTGGATAATCTTTCTACTTCAAAGTATTAAAGAAAATCTAGAAGCTGCCCATAGTAGATACATGCAAGGCATTCCATCGGAACCTTTTAAACTTGTCACATGGTGGAAGTGACAGCATTGGCCTGTGTTCTGGCTTACCCCAGTGTAGACCTCTTGAAGGCTGTGGTAAATGCTTTATTCTTTCCTGAAACAGAGAATTTTCACTTTACAAACATTTCACTTTCTCCCCAGTCAATCCCAATCCAATAAACAAGATTCTGTTCTGTTTTACTTCATTCCCAGACTTGGCAAGTTCTCCCCCTGTATGGTGATGTAGATCCAGAGATCATCAGCCTCCTCCTAAATACTGTGTATTTTGTCCTTTCATGGTTATTTTTAGGCTCTAAATTTCCATTTACAGCCCTCAAGTAATAGTCATGGGTATTCTTACAGTTACTCAACAGTGATATGGCAATTCCAGTGCGGGCTTACCTGTGAAAACACCAGCTTTCTTCCCATCACTGCTGCTGTTCAGTTTATAAAGGTGCCAGCTCAGCCACCCATTCCAATGACAAGGTAATTTCTGTAACAACACTGATACTTCTCATTCTGTTAAGCAGATTTAATGTTAATAGTGTTGATCAAAAGGTTACTTACTTTGGCTGGGTGGAATAAAGAGAGCAAGAAGAGCTGGTTCAATGATTTATTAGGTAACAGTTCTGACAGTGACAATCTTCCCCAGGAGCATGAAGAACATGAAGACCTGTAAATCACTCTGGGAAGCTGCAGTTTGGTTTTAGCAGAAAAGCTTCTGCTTCTTTGGTTTACTTGAGTGGAAAAAGGGTGCTGAGTGCAGCTCCTGAAGTATCCATTGTCTGCAAATGTTCATCACAAAATGACTAAAAATGACTGAAACAGAGTAGAGGGAGGCTCCTGGTTTTGTTAGAGAAAAGTCAAAAGAATAATGAGAGGTTTGTGGTTTAGTTTTGTTTTTCCTGTAACCTGGATACTTTCTCTCTTGTTTTCCCCACTTGTGCTGTCCTTTGGTGCTGTAGTTAATACAGCTGAGTTTTTATGTTGGTGTCGTTAATGCAGGTGCTTTTACATGTGGTGTTTTTTTCTTCTAGATCTCGGTCTAATTATTGGACAGAATTTGACTGCAATCGAGATGATGCGTGCTGGCCCCAACTTTTTTATCCAGTGACACGGTTTTACACAGGTAGAAATAATGACCCATCTGGAATGCCATGAACTGGCCGCTAGATGTGTGGAGTTCGGTCTGAAAGGATGCTTTGTGACAGGGAATTAAAATTTCCCTTTTAGAAAGCATGGTCCGAGATAATGTGTTAATTTCTTAGTTAGACTCCTGGAAAAGGTAATTACTGGAAATGTAAAACTGTGCTGGGGTTGTGTCTCGTGGGAGACTGTAGGTTTAATGTCTGGCCTTTCAAAGGGCATCAAAGCACCTGGACTCTGTACTGGGAGCTACATGGATTGAAGCAACTGCCATGCTTATTATCTGCGAGACTTTAGAGACTTAAGTTACACAAAGCATGAAGTTTGAGAAGTGTGAAGCATCTTACTTCTTGCTTTATGCTGCATTATTGTGTTCAAGTTCTACGCATACTTTAATCTGTTTCCTTTGGGTTGTTGTTTAAAATGTAGCACTCATATGTTTATACTTTTTTTTTCCTTTCTTTTTGTTTTTGCAGGAGAACCGTATTCCCGGTGTCTTGCTAAAGGCCTGTTATTGGCATTCCTTGTTTTACTTGCAGCAATTACGAGTAACCCTTGGTTTTCACGATTTTGGAACAGTTGCTTGGTTTAAAAATGTTGATGTAAAGAGAACCCCTTTTGTTAATATTTTAAGTACTTCTGGGTAAAATTTATGGAGAAATATTCTTGAATTTTGTAGACATTTTATATAAACATGTAAAGATACATAAAATGAATACTCATATGGGATACAGAAGATGGATGTGTTAATTAAAAACAAAAAGTAACAGGGTGATGTTTAAGCTCTAGACTCCAAGTCTGGAGGACTGCAGCAGGGTGAGCTCTGTGGGCCGAGGCCAGCCCAGAGCCCACTGCAGGGCTGGGGTCCTCCTCATGCATGGATCTCTGTCTGCTCAAGCTTGTTCTCTTCTCTGGGTGTAGTGGGTCAAGGTGGCAGTCCCTTCCGCAGTAAACCCCTCATGCCACCTGGTTTGGGAGCAGTGGACAGATTGTTTACACTTCTGAAGAGTAATAATGCCTTAGCCGTTACCATATATTGGTCTGTGACTCTCTGTTCCAGTTAGTGCTTTGCATTGGCAATCCTTGTGTGATCTGGGCTATGCAGGGTAAGAAAACATCTCAGAATCTCAGACTGGTTTGGGTTGGAAGGGACCTCAAAGCTCAGCCACTTCCATTCCCTTTCCACAGGCAGGGACCCCTTCCACTAGAGCAGCTTGCTCCAAGCCCCTGTGTCCAACGTGGCCTTGAGCACTGCCGGGGATGGGGCAGCCACAGCTCCTCTGGGCACCCTGTGCCAGCGCCTCAGCACCCTCACAGGGAAGAGCTCCTGTCCCAGCTCTGCTTTCCCTCTATTGCCTTCCTACCGCCTCCTTTAGCGCAGGAGGCCGGGATCCGGCCCCCTCAGCCCCGCCGCCGGTTGGCCGCGGCTGCGTCCCCGCCCCCCGGAAGCAGCTGTCCTCGCTGCCGGCGGCGGGCTGGGCCGGGCCGCTGCGCTCCGCCATGGCCGCCGGGCCGCGGGCTCCGGCCCCACACCGCTCCTCGCCGTCCCGGCGCTCTCCGCGCTGAGCCGAGGCCCGGCTCCGCTGCCCCCCGCCATGGGCTCGCTGTTCCGCGGGGAGCCCATGTGCCTGGCGCAGCTCTTCCTGCAGAGCGGCTCGGCCTACGAGTGCCTCAGCGAGGTGGGCGAGCGTGGCCTGGCCGAGTTCCGAGACGTGAGTACCGGCGGCGCGGCCCTCTGGGTGCATGAGGGGGGTAAAAGGACCCTGAAGGGCCCAGCGGCGCGGGGGACGCCGAGCAGCGAGAGGCGCGGTTGGGTGGGTGAAGGTCTCATTGCCATGGCCCGATGCTCCGTTCCCGTCTGACTTGCAGGCGTTGGGGCTAATCCTGGTACTGCATTCGGGTGATGGAAAGTCAACGTGGAGCCCCAGCCGCCCAGAGGCTGTAGACAAGGCTGTTTGGGCATGCTGAGTCCCACCTTTCTCCCAGAAGTAGCTTAAACTTGGGTGGCTTTTTGCAGTAGGATCCCATGGGAGAGCCCATTGCCCACTTGAAGCCGCAGTTGACTTTAGGTTGCATGTGTGTGTGCACAGCTAATGGATACATCCACCCCACTGACAGCTCGATAGAAATATCTTGGCTCTCTGTAGGTTTTAATTCAACATCACAGGTTGCTGGTTTGTAAACCATATCTGTTCCTGGAAGAGCAATTCACCTGGGCGGAAACTACATGCCTGACTAACATAAAATTGGGTCGGGTAGTTATTAACATTGTTACTGCATCGTCTCATCATAATTACATGATCTTTGCCTGCTGACAGACTTTGGAATTTCATCCAAGTTATCTTTAGAATATGTTGCAAAATCATTGTAGGGAAAGTAGGGAGAACTTAAATTAACAGCTAGTTGGTAAATATGGCAGGTAGGAAGAGATGGATGTGTAAGAATCATTACATGCAGGTTACGTGTAACATTTTGATGCCATTCCAGGTACCATTCCAGAAATAATGTATTAGTGGTTCTGATTTACAAGCTGAATAAGTAGTTGGAGACAATCCATGCTTGTGATATAGAACCATAGAATAGTTAGGGTTGGAAAGGACCTTCAGATCATCCAGTTCCAACCCCCCTGCCATGGGCAGGGACACCTCACACTAAACCATCTCACCCAAGGCTCTGTCCAACCCGGCCTTGAACATGGCCAGGGATGGAGCATTCACAACCTCCCTGGGCAACCTATTCCAGTGCCTCAGCACCCTAACAGGAAAGGATTTCTTCCTTGTATCCAATCTAAACTTCCCCTGTTTCAGTTTTAACCCGTTACCCCTTGTCCTGTCACTACAGTCCCTAATGAAGAGTCCCTCCCCAGCATCCCTATAGGCCCCCTTCAGATACTGGAAGCTGCTCTGAGGTCTCCACGCAGCCTTCTCTTCTCCAGGCTGAACAGCCCCAACTTCCTCAGCCTGTCTTCATACAGGAGGTGCTCCAGCCCTGATCATCCTCGTGGCCCTCCTCTGGACTTGTTCCAGCAGTTCCATGTCCTTTTTAGGTTGAGGACACCAGAACTGTACACAATGCTCCAGGTGAGGTCTCATGAGAGCAGAGTAGAGTGGCATAGAAAGAGTCTTACAAAACTTAACATTTCAAATAGATTCCATGGAAATATGTCATAAAATTTGCTTGTAGAAAGGGTTTTTGTTAATTTGAAGTTGTTAAATGGTATTTTAAAACTGCAGGAAGAAGATTAGGAATAGTGTCTGCAGTAGATCTCATTACTTTCATATTTGAGTAAAGCTAGCAAAGGCATTGATAATTCTGCTTTGATAAAACCAACCTGGCTGCTTGGAGGCTTCTTAATCTTTTTAGGTTTTCATACCTTCATAGCTGAAAAGCACCCTGTAGACACAGAGCACATAGAATATCTGCAGAATTGGCTCCACAAAGCCACAGAAATAGCTGTGGGGTTTTAATACCTAATAAGTATTTTTTCCTTCTCCTTCAGCTTAACCCAAATGTAAGCGTATTTCAGAGAAAATTTGTGAATGAAGTAAAGAAGTGTGAAGAAATGGAAAGAATACTTGGTGAGCTTGATTTTCCTGCCTGCCCTTTCTCATCTCTGGCATTATTAAAGTTTACGTTACTAGAGTAGAACTACAGTGAAGGTTTCAGCTCCAGGTTTTTAATCTTCCCAGTATTCCTGATCTGCATACTCTAGAATCTGATGAAGTTTTTATGTGTATGAAAAAATACATAAACTACACTCAAATGTAGCCTTTATGTAGATTTTTAAAGCTGGAGATGACTTGTCTGTAATACTGAATTGGATCAGAACGTGAAAATATATTCCTTAGCTTGTCTTGATCTGCTGCAGCAGTTTTGAGTGTCATCTCAAGCTATTTAGGTTGGAAGTGATGTCTTGGGATCACCTCATGAACCTCCAGCTGGAGCAGGTTGTCCAGGGCTATGTCTGGTGGGATTTTGAACATGGAGACCGCACAGCTCTGGGCAGCCTGTTCCAATGTTTTCCCACTGATCCTTGTTTCTTGGGTTTGTGAGCTATAAACCTGATTTGCAACACAACATGCATGTGCTGAATAGGGATTGGGGTGATTTTTAAGCTCAGTACTGAAGAAGAGCTGCTAATAGTGCTGCTAATAAATAATTGAGACCATTTCAGTATTGACTGCTTAAAACTACTGGGAAAAGGGAAGCTTTACTGTGGATATTTCCTTGACTATAAGATAAAGTCCATTTTTCATATTCTGTAACGCAGTACTGTTGAACTTCCAAGCACCCTCAAAAGTTATTAATGATTGCATTCACATGGCAGTTAATGAATAGCGAAGAGGATGTGGAACGTTACAGCCAAGATGCAGATTTCTTCAGTATATCCTGAGGAAAAGTTACCATTGAAGGATTCTTTTTGTTAGAATCTCTCATCAGAGGCATGTGCTGGTCATGCCAAACCATCCCAGTAGCTAGTTGCTACATGCCCGGTGGGAGTTGCATTCGTTGTCAAGGTTACTTAAGCTGCCTTGTTTGATCGCTTTTTATTCCAAACATGGTTCAATGAGCAAAATGTCAGTCTCTGCAGATGGTTAACAGAAAGTGCTATCTTGCAGCAGCAAAGAGACACTATGACATGGTAAAAGCTTCTTAAAAAGTACTTGTGGTTGGAAAATTTCAGTCAGAAGACTCTGAAGATTGCTTACTTCTGCAAACTTCCAAGACAGAGATGTGCTGTGTGTTTTATTCTTGGCCCCTCTCTTCTGAAGAGCACAGTGTGTGTTGTTGCTAAAATAAATGAATTAAATAGCTTGGGCCTGATGCTGCAGTGCCATCAGCACCATTAAGAACAGCTGAAGATCAGCTCTGCAGCATTCTAGGAAGCACAGGGCAAAACAGTTTCCTTTCTGATTCTGTTTTCCTTTTCACTCCAGGCTATTTAGTACAAGAAATTAAAAAAGCAGATATTCCACTTCCTGAAGGAGATGTTGCTCCTCCTGCCCCTTTGCTGAAGCACATTCTAGAAATCCAGGTAACTTTTCCATGCAACAGATGCCAAAAGTGTAGCTCTGGATCTTGGAACTTTATTTTAAACTTAATTGCTTTCTATCTTACAACTTAAGTTTAGGGGGGGGGGGGTACAGGAGCATTTGCTTTCCTCTTTGTCCAGTTTCCTTTCTTTCTGCCAGTGTTACTGCAGAGACTGCCAGGGAGGGTTTGATGCTGACACAAAGCTCCTGTGAAAGGGTCAAAGCTGACTCAGGGGGTTTGCAGTTGTCTCTCTCTTTTTGATGGATTGGCATATTACACTGTTGCTGTCTGTAGATGTAGTCCTTCCGCCTCATTTGTTGCTTTGGGACTTACCTAAGACTCTTTTCATGCATCCAAAATTTCCAGGGTGTGTGGGAGTTTTGTGTACCCAGGGCTCTGCTTGTTTTGCTGCATTGCAAAACCTGGGGCTGTTTTCTCTGAGTGCTTTTTCTGGTATTATGTTAGAAGTAGAAGCTTGTAAAATGCAGATATAATTTCATCTGATATTCTTGTTTTGCTGCATTTCCATTAAAATAATAGATAGGTGTCTTCCACTGTGTGCTATTTGAAGTTCTAACTCCAAGTCTGCATTACTGAGCTTAGACACAAATTAGGGGCAGAACAGAAGATTTAACAGATGCCAGTGGAGGATTAACTGTACTCAATACAAAGCAATCTTTGGCAGTCT